ATTATAATACAATAGACATTTATGGAATTTACATATACAGTTTTGATCACTTTCAAGGAACTCCAGTGGTCCACATAATGTAATAATTTGAACTTTGTCAATGTACACATGGTTTGCAGAGTTTTCACTTAACCTGGGCTGGAGCCGTTCAGCAGCAAGCATCCTCATCTCAGCCTGACTTTATAGTTCTTAGCTCATGTTTCCATCCACGTACTTGTTGTGAAACAGGAAAGTCTCTATATCCTTTGGAAAATGCCCCCTTCTAAACAAAGGAACAAACAGGGAAAAAGCCAAACAAGATAACAACAAAAATATTCTAAATCTAACCAGCAAATAGTATCAGCCCACAACTGAACAAAAAGTGAAGAAATCTGTGCTTATTCCAATAAATAGAAATTTGGGCTGAATTATGGAGTTGGAATGTCACATGGACAAGTGGCTTGGATGCATATGATAAATTTTGTCATGCATTCTGTGAGAGGTAAGGAGAGGAAACTCACAAACTTTCAATATATTTTCCAGACAGAATTTGTATTATTAGCTTTACTAATGAGTCTAGTTCTCAATTTACAGAATTATAAGGAGTTAATTAAAAGGTTTTAGTAATATTTGACTGCACTTTATGGAGAAATTCCATGCTATTATGGTATTTCTGGTTTGGGGAATTTGTAAATGTCTCAGGACCCATCTCTTAAGATTGCCTGCTACATAGAGTGAGTCTCTAAGATTTCGTCTCACTCCAGTCAGAATGGCAGCTATTAAGAATACAAACAACCATAAGTGTTGGTGAGGATGTAAGGAAAAATCCACACTCATACATTGCTGGTGGGACTGAAAATTGGTGCAGCCAATTTGGAAAGCAATATTGAGATTCCTTGGCAAGCTGGGCATGGAATCACCACTTGACACAGCTATCCCACTCCTCAGTGTATACCCAAAAACTTAAAAACAGCATACTACAGGGACACAGCCACATCAATGTTTATAGCAGCACAATTCACAATAGCTAAATTGTGGAAACAACCTAGATGTCCTTCAGTAGATGAATGGATAAAGAAAATGTGGTATATATACACTATGGAATATTATTCAGTCTTAAACAAGAATGAAATTATGGCATTTGCTAGTAAGTAGATGGAGCTGGACCATATCATAGTAAGTGAAGTAAGCCAATTACAAGGAACCAAAAGCTGAATGTTTTCTTATATGTGGATGCTAACCCACAGTAAGGGAGTAGGGTAAGGAAGCACAGAGGAACTTTGGATTAGATGGAGGGGAGTGAGGTGAGGTAGGAAGGATAGTAGAATGAATCAGACATTATTATCATATATGCATATATGATTACATGACTGGTATAATTCTATATAATGTACAACCAGAAGAATGAGAAGTTATACTCCACTTATGTGTGATGTTCAAAATGCATTCTACTGTCATGTATAACTACTAAGAACAAATAAAAAAATAAATTTAAAAAATGCTTTATGTAATAATCACAGCAAATAATAAGTTCCTAAAATAATCTAAATTATTTATTAATCTAAGTAATCTAAAATAATCTCTAAAATACATTTGTGATCTACTTCACAGTGTCACTGTGGCTCACTATAAAGTCTCAATAAATATGAACTCTTAGAATTATGCTTTTTCTTGTTGTTTTTTGTTGTTGTGCTGATGATGGTTTGTGGTACTAATGATAGAACCCAAGAATGCTCTACTAGTAAGCTACATTCCCATCTCCATTTTCCTTTTTACTTTTTTCTGGAACATGGACTCCTACTGACTCAGCCTCCTGAGTATAATTTGTGTTTTTGAAGAATATTCTGTTTTTGAAGATGTTGTAGAAGGAACATACATGATAATGAGAATATCCTCAAATTTTATTTTCCCATGTAGAACATATTTTGTTTCAACTTAAAATATTCACTATCCTCAACCAAATTTTATTCTCAAATGTCATGTTCTATTCACTATTCCATAAGGTCCAGGATGAGCAAGTAAAGAATATATTATGAAATGGCAGTAAGAGTTTTATGTTCCAGCATATGCTGGAGTGTACCTGTGTATGCCAATGTGATCTTTCAGATTGGTAGAATGAGTTTAATATGAGTGAGCAATACAATATGACTACAGTACAAAGCACTTCTCAATTTAGGCTGTATTATTATAAATTGGCCTCTCCATTACAAAACAGAACGGGCCTCTTCTATAAGCAACCAATCAGGCTATTCTTCAATTATCATTTGTTATTATTCATCTTCTATAGGATTATGTTAAGGCAGAATATATTCAAAGAAATGTGAGTAGGATGGTGAAAGTGCTTGAACTGAAGCCACATAAGTTATGAGAGAAGAACTGGGAATAATTAGCCCAGAGAAAACAGTGCTTGATTTGGTCATGGCTAAATATTTCCAGCTCCTTGAAACTCAAACATAGCTACTTTGTCAAAACATAATTAGATATATTATTTATGATGTTTCATAATCTATTTTTTCTCTTAACTCATTCAATGAGTTCATACTATTGGTTATATGTATTTTTATAAATTCTTTTTTTCATATGTATTTATACTTGACTTTCATATTTTATTTGTGTCAACCTAGTGCCTACCCTAATGAAGAGTGCTATAAATTCAGATTCAAAGAATGCATGAACTTTCAGAGAGTTTGGAGTTCTTGAACTTATTTGCCTAAATTATGATGTGTGTATTAGCAATTACATAGTTTATACCATATAATACACATTTTCCTTATTAACTATGGGACAAATAAACCATATTCCTGTGGTTGGTTAATTATTATATTTTATTTATTTGTAATTTCTTTTTATTCTGCAAGTTTTGAGGTGTGTGAGTATGTGTGTGTGTGTGTTCTCACTGTGTGGATAGGTTAGAAAAAATATATATTTATGTAATTTTGCTTTCATTTAATTGCTTTCTTTTGCATCTGTTTATGATTTGGCCTTGTTTTGACTTAGGTGGGATATAATTATATATAGGTTTGAACTGTTTTGATCTTGTATTTGCTTGTTTGTTTCTATATTGGTTTTTGTCCTTAATCCCACTTCTTTAGTTTCTCTCCACCCCAATACCAAATTTTCATGCTCCCTCTCCTCTTTTGTCTTTTAATTACTTTTAGTTATTTTTTTTGTAATTCCTTCTTTATAGTCAACACCAGCTACCTATCTCCTGACTCTCTTTTGTTTACTTAACATATTTCAAACTTTTCTTGCCTTGCTACCCTATTTTCTCTTTACTTAAGAAACTTTAACTGTCTAATACAACTAGATAGTTAATGTAACTCATACCCCATTCATGTTGTTGTGATTATTGATAGAATACATGACATAGTAGACACCTGCTGTTTAATTCTTGATTGAGTTCATGATTTTTTATTTTTGGTATTGATGGTACTGATGCTCACCTCAACATTCCTATATAGGTGGCAATTATTGCTATAGATGTCAAAGTGGACAGCAGAAACCTTACTTCTGTTGCTAACAGTAGTGCTATTCCTGACTCCCACTTCCTATAAGAGGGACTGGAAAGTGATCAGGACATTTCAAGATCATAGAGTCAAGATCTCACTGTGGAGCAATACTCACAACTCTGCCAAGTAAGTAACAGCAAATCTCACTCCACACATGATTATCTAGCCCCACCTGAGCCTTCACATTATTTCAAGGGCAGAGAATTGGGAAAACAAAACTCTCAAACCAAAAAACCAAAAACAAAAACAATAAAAACAGGTCTCAAGGAGAAATAATCAGAAGGGCATCTCAGGTTGCACATTGGATATCTACTCATAAAGCAAAAAGAGAACTATCCACAAGAGGACTTAAAAGAAGAAGGAGAATCCATCTAAACTGATGCACAAGTCCAACCAAGACTTCTGAAAACATGAGGAAATAGGCCAAGAAATCTCCTCCAAAATTCAGAATCTCCCAACAAAGGATCCCACAGATATGGAGGTAGATGAAATTTCAGATTTTAAAAATGATTATTAAAATGTTAAACTAAAAGAAGATCTAAGCAATGAATGAAGAAAGCTAATATTGGAGATAAACGACCACTTCAATAAAGAAATAGAAATATTGAAAAGAAACCAGTCAGAACTCATGGAAACGAAAGACAAAAATCACACTTCACAATAGCTCAACTGTGGAACCAACCTAGATGCCCTTAAATGGATGAATGGATTTAAAAAATGTGACATATATACACAATGGAATATTACTCAGTAATAAAGGAGAATAAATCATGGCATTTGCAGGTAAATGGATGGAATTAGAGAAGATAATGCTAAGTAAAGTTAGCCAATCCCAAAAAAACCCAAATGCCAAATGTTTCCTTTGATATAAGGAGGCTGATTCATAGTGGGATAGGGAGAGGGAGCATGGGAGGAATAAAGGAATTCTAGATTGGCCAGAGAGGGTGAGAAAAGAAGGGAGGGGGTGTGGAATTATAAATGATGGTGGAATGTGATGATCATTATTATACAAAGTACATGTATGAAGACATTATTATACAAAGTACATGTTGTGCAAAAACTTTGTATAAAACCAGACATGTGGAAAATTGTGTTCTATGTGTGTAATAAGAATTGTAATGCAGTCCGCTGTCATGTATTAAAAAAAAAAAAAGAAAATTCCACTGGAAACCATCACCAATAGATTAGATTTCATAGAAAACTTGAGTCCTTGAGGACAGAACTTCAACTTCAGGCCTTCAAGACAGGGTAAAGTCTCTCAGATGGAGATGTTCTGGAGGCCAGCATGAAGGTGGCAGGACCAGCTGGAGCTGGGGGAGTCACTAACTCTGAGGGAGAAGTCACCCAACCAGAGGGCTGAAAGTCCAGGGAGGGAGTAAGAGGCCCCGCGGGGGTGACTGAGCCCTTAGTGGCAAGATTCTAGTCAAAGTTTAGGCCAGGCCTCTACCTTTAAGGCAGAGTGCCAAGGTGGCAGGAACCCTGAACTCTCCAGAATTCTAAATGCTTTGGTCATAATTGATCCCTACAACGCTCCAGGACATTCAGCTAGAAGGTGGATGGTCATAGAGCGGTTTTTAGAGCAGAGCTGAGGGCTCTCTGAAGCTATAGCAATGTTTTCGTGGTTTAGAGGCCTAGGCTTCAGCTGGGGCCAGTACTTGGGTCAGGTGGGAGGCAGCTTGGCTTCCCCCACTGGCCAAGTCTCCAGCGGCACCATAGATATGCCTGTGGAGGTCTCCAAAGCTGTGGAAGACAGTTCACTTCATTGTCAAAGAAAAAAAATCGAAACCACAGAATCAAGGTTGAGATCAGAGAATACAAGACTTAAAAAGTATTGTACTGATCTGGAAAAAAAGGATGAAGCATCGCAGCTTCAAATAAACCTTCAATCTACAAGTTACCAAAATCAGCTGCAACAGAAACAGGTAGACATTGGCCATCTTCAAGCAAGCCAGATGGCACTACAGGAGCAGGTGTTGAACCTGCAGTCAGCTGCTCAATCAGTACCTTCAGGAGCGGGTGGTGTACCAGCAACCAGCGCACCTTGTTCATTCGGTTATGGACTCAGCCATCATATGTCACTTTTCTGTGATGATGCCAAGAACTTTAGTGACATAATTTCATCAAAACAGGAAATAAACAGATTGAAAAATGAAGTTTCAAGACTTGAATGTGAAGTTGGCCATTGGAGGCGTAACACGCAGGTACAAGGAACAAATGATTCACATCAAAATGAAATCAGCAAACTACACCATACAATTAAGGTACTGGAACAAAACCGAAGTCAGGACATGGATCATCACCAACATGAAATGTCCATTTTGCAGAATGCACATCAACAGAAACTGGCAGAGTTAAATCACCAGCATCAACAGGAGTCAAATGACTATGAAGGACGGATCGCAGAACTTGAAAAGCTGTTACACCAAGGTGACTCAGGAGTTACAGTCACTGATCAGTCTCAAGTCTGGGAGATGCAAAACACTATTCAGGTTCTACAAACTGAAAAACTAGAGTCCACAAGAAGAATAAAAGAACTTGAGGATACAATCAAAGTCATAAAGAAAAAATTATCTTCTGTAGAACACGACAGAGATGTCCTGAAGAGAGAAAAGGAGCAGCTCAGTGTGGAAAAGAGACAAATAATTGAAGAGTGTGAAAACTTGAAAGTGCTATGTAGTAAATTGCAGCCTTCTGTGATGGAGCAGAGTGATCCTGCTGCAGAAAAGGGAATAATTTCTCCACAAAGTTCATCAGTGGGAGAAGTGTTCAGACTCCAACAAGCCCTGTCTGATGCTGAAAGAATGAGACTGACTAATTTAAGACAGGATACCAGCCTTGCTGAAGACAATCTGAAACTTCAAATGCATGTCCAAGTTTTAGAAAAAGAGAAGTCATTATTGAGTCAAGAAAAGGAAGAACTTCAGATATCACTTTGCAAACTGAGCTGGGAATATGAAGTCATTAGAAGTGTGGCTTC